CAGGCACCTGACTGCCCCTCTTGACCAGCCTAGGATAGGAGAGCCGCCTCTGTCCCCGTAATTGCTTTCCTTTGCCACCCACACTTGTTTGAAGTTGTGCTGGTAGCTTTTTTGTTTTCCCTTCCGGGTCTATTTTTCGTATTCACAACAGCCAGGGACTTGATATTGATGTATTTTACACCACATTAAATAGTCTGTTGCCTTACTTGTATCTGCAAATTGCATCATTTGCTGTTTCTGGATCCCCATGCAGTCCTCTCCATTGTTATGGACTTGTCTGGATCAGCAAAGTGGCCATGGCAGTGTCCTGGCATTCTACATATTCCAAAATGTCCTGCCTTGTACTGCCTGCCACAGGTTCATGATTCTGACGGACTACTACAGCAGTATTTGCTCTTGGCATAGAAAGAATATCAAGGGACTTTTAAGTGGTTTTTTTTTTAATTTCAATAAGGTGTGCACAGTATAAGCCTAACATGGAAAGACAGGCATGATTGCTGTGAGTTCAAGGCTACCTTGAACTATGTCAGCTAGGGTTATATACTAAAACTGTCTCAAGGGAGGGTTGTGCCCTTAATTCCAACCCTGAAGGGAAAGGCAGGAGGATCTGTGTGTAGTGCTCTAGGAAGCCATGGTGACACTGGGCCTCACAGGAAAAGGGGTGCAAGGGAGCTGCTGATAGCTCTATCATCCCTAGGACCCACATGTGGAGAATGAAAAGTTGTCTTTTGCTCTTTAAAAGTAAGCTTCACTTTAATCCCAGCACTCGGGAGGCAGAGGCAGGCGGATCTCTATGAGTTCAAGGCCAGCCTGGTCCCTAGATCAAGTGCCAGGATAGGCTCCAAAGCTACACAGAGAAACCCTGTCTCGAAAAACCAAAAAAAAAAAAAAAAAAAAAAAAAAAAACAAAAAAAAAAACAAAAAACAAAAAAAAAACAAAAAACAAAAAAAAAAAAGACCAACAACAGCAAAAACATGTATTTATTGTGTGCATGTGTGAAGATTACTTTTTTTTTTTTTTTTTTTTTTTGTTGGGGTTGGTGTGAGGGGAGGAGGGGGGTGTTTTTTCTCGGTGTTTTGGGAGGCTGTCCTGGAACTAGCTCTTGTAGACCAGGCTGGTCTCAAACTCAGAGAGCTGCCTGCCTCTGCCTCCCGAGTGCCAGGATTAAAGATGTGCACCACTACTGCCCTGCAATACCTGTGATTTTTAAATAATCAGTAGCTAGTGAGAGGGAAGGTTCTTTTAAAGTATAAGAGGCCCTGAAAAGGACAGAAGGTTAATGATCTCATTTATTAGTTGAACCTGGCATGGTAGAACATGCCTTTAATCACAAAAGTTAAATTCAAGGCCATCTTGGTCTACCTACCAATTTTTAGCCCAGGGAGGACTAATGAGACCTTGTCTCAAAAAATAAAAATTGCCGGGCGTTGGTGGTGCACGCCTTTAATCCCAGCACTTGGGAGGCAGAGGCAGGCGGATCTCTGTGAGTTCGAGACCAGCCTGGTCTACAACAGCTAGTTCCAGGACAGCTTTCAAAGCCACAGAGAAACCCTGTCTCGAAAAATCAAAAAAATAAAAATGAAAAGGTTTCCCTACGAACATTTTCCAAGGTGCCCAAGAAAGTGGGGGAAAGGGCTAAAGAGATGGCTTAGCAGTTAAGAGCACTGACTGCTCTTCCACAGCAGGGTTCAATTCCCAGCAACCACCCAGCAGGTCACAACTGTAATTTCAAGATCGGGCAGACACACATGCAGGCAAAACACCAATGCACACAAAATAAATAGTGCAAAAAAGGGTGGGGGAAGAGATGAGGTTAGGTGTCACCTTAGGAAATCTGAAGCAGACCTGGAGGGCAGGAAGGACCCACCTGAAGAAGGGGTAAGTTATTGTGTCTATGCCGTTGACAACACTGGCCTTCCTTAAGGGAATTGAACTTTTGCTATCCTTAATTCGCTGCTTTCCTGTAGGAAAGAAGCTATAGGTGGCATCAGCAACAGCTCCACACCACACCACCCTCACCCCTGCTTCCGGAGACAGGGTTTTTCTGTGTAACTTTGGAGCCTGTCCTGGAACTTCCTCTCTAAACCAGGCTGGCCACAAACCCGCAAGAGATCTGGCTGCCTCTGCCTCCTAAGTACCAGGATTAAAGGTGTTGGCCACCACCACCAGCTCAGCAACAGCTTTATAGGAGCATTTCTAACCTGCTCACTGGCCCAGGACCTTCCTTAGGTTGGCCCCGCCTAGCCCGAGGTGGTAGACCAATATATTCCATGCACTGCGTGCCACATTGTTTCCAAAGACCCTCTAGAAGGATGCAGGGATTCCTTTGCTGCTCCACCTCAGGAGCTTTCAAGCAAAGCAGCTCTGCAAAAGCTTCTGGCCCCTCGGGGAAGGAGCTGAAGGTGGGAACACCAGAGGAGCTTCTGGGCCCTCTGCCACTTCGGTGTCGGTGGAGGAGCCTGGCACCACCCCAGCAGCTCCTGTAGGAGAGGAAGGGACATCCCCATTGTCCTCCCCTCCCTCTGGCCCTCAGTTGTTCACAAGTATTAACTTAATGTCCCTTCCTAGAGTGGCCTGGATGTTTAAAGCGCCTGGACGGGATTCATGTGTTGGTGTCTGCAGAAGCAACACCTCTGGGTCCCCAGCAGCCAGTGGCCCAGGTGAGGGAAACCTGCTGTTGCTCAGGGGAAGGGGAAGGTGGATGTGTTGCCTTGGTCTGGATAGCCTGGCTAAGGGTGCGACTCTCCTGTGGCATTGGATGCTGCTGTGGAGGACCAAGCCAGGAGCTCTGCCAGGTCTTTAAATAGCTGCCTTGGTGATGGAACTCCCTCCTGGCCAGCACTCCAACAAACAGTTCTGGGTCAGGCTCCTTCCGGAGCTCAGGTTGCCAGCTCTGCTCTGGTTCTCCCTACATAGGTGGGAAGAAGTCCGGTCAGTTCATCAGCACCAACCAGCTAGGAATGTCTGGATGTGATTGGACAGTGCTATTGCCCAGGAACGAGTGACAACGGTTATTTTCAATAACATCTCGATGACAGTTATGTCTCAGGATTATAAGGATTAAATGTCTATAAAAGGCTTAACAGGGCTCTTGGATACATGGGTGTCTTTGTGTCTTCTGGGGGCTGCTGTTTATCTTTCTTTTATACTTACATATCGCCTATATCCACACTTTCATTTATTCCCATCACCCTCCTCCTGCACACAAAGCCAGCACCATTTTGTAAGGGATTCCCTCCAGACGTGACAAGAAACAAAGTGTTTTAAACCCATATCCAACAACTAACAGAGTCCCCTTAGTTCATACATAGAGTAATAGGAACTGTTAGTCAATATGAGGACTCTCCTTCCGTTCAGCTCCCGGTGAACTCAAAGAAGGCTACTTTCTCTTTAAATGCAAATCACCTCCAGGCAGCTTAGCTCCCACCAGCGCTAGTTCCCGGGAGGAGAGAGAGAGAGCAGGGAAGAAGCACCATTTCTCACTCCTCATCCCAAACCTCCAGGTCAGTGGTTCCCCAAGGGATTCAGGAAGGGAGTGACGGAGGAGCGGGTGGGGTAATGCACCTGATGCTCTTTTTTGAAGCCAAGATTCAGAATTGAGTGATTCCTCGGACACAGCTTCCCAGCTGAGCACAGACAGCTTCTCTGGCTGCTGCTTCCATCAAGTCACTGGGTCACACTGCTGCTTGGAGAGATAGAAGTTATCTCCCTTCTACCCCACCCAACCCCATTGATGCCATCTAGCTGTTATATGCTGTTGGCTTAAATGCTATGTTCCTACTCCATCATCGCCATCTCAGGAATGAGATGACTGAGCTTTTCGACAATAATCTGGAATGAGACCCCCTGGAGAGGACATCAGCAGACCAGATGCCCAGGGCTGCATGGGAGTCAGGCTAAGCTGTGCTGGCCACAGTTACAGACATTGGTGGAGATCCAATCCCAGAGACTTTCTAACTGGAAAAGGAAAAGACTAGAAAGCTGTCCCAAGGAACTTCTAGGCATCCCTGGTGTTTGCAGCTGAAGTGGAGTGGGAGAAGATGAAAGCCAGTGTGTAAGGGAGGTGAGGTCATGAGTAGACCATGCCCAGTCGCTGTGGTCAGCAGGTTGGCACTAGGGACTTTCCAGGTGCCCCTACCTTACCTGGGTCACATCTCATTTAGACTAGGTCAGTATCAGCCAAATACAGAGTAGGGCCTGGTTAAGACATGCCTGCTTCTCTAGCCAGCTCCCCTAGACACACAAATGTCTCTGAGCATTTTTCTCTCCAGCCCAAGGCTCTGGGCTTCAGCGACAGAAAACCAGCAAGATGACCCTGGATCACTCCAGCCCTCTCAGGCAGGCCTGTGGAGCTTTCAAAAAGAAAGCGTTGGTTGGGCAGTGGTGGCACATGCCTTTAGTCACCTTTCATCCCCGAACTCTGGAGTAGTCAGATCTCTGAGTTTGAGGCCAGCCTGGTCTACAGAGCGAGTTCCAGGATAGGTTCCAAAGCTACACAGAGACACCCTCTCTCAAAAAACCAAACGCAAACGAAGAAGTAGAAGGAGAAGAAGAAGGGGGGGGGGCTTTGGGTGGCCTTGGAAAATCATACAGCCCAGCAGCAGCCCGGCATCTGGCCCTGTACAGACAACAGGACAGAGCCCCTGACTGCTGGACAAAGGATAATTTTGCCCCTCATTACCTTCCTTCCCAGGCCTGAGGTCCAACAAGCACCCAATGGATGACAAAAAGAAGAAACGGAGTCCTAAGCCCTGCCTGGCCCAACCAGCACAGGCCTCAGGCACACTACGGAGAGTCCCTGTGCCCACCAGCCACAGTGGTTCCTTGGCCCTAGGACTCCCTCATCTGCCATCACCCAAGCAGCGAACCAAGTTCAAGAGGTGAGTACAGAAAGGGTGCTTGTCAAGAAGGGAGACTATGGGCCAGCACTGTGGGAAGGGAAGGAGGGCCTCCAGACACCAGGTGCCCTCTCTGTGTGCTGGCGATGCTCGCCCTCAAGTGCACAGAGAGAAACCAGAGAGTCACTGGGGCTACACAGAGGGGGGCTGTGTCTCAGAAGAGGAAGTGAGTGAGAGTGAGAGGAAGCTGTGGGCATCCTGAAGAAGGAAGCGTGTTTGAAACTGAAAATCTTGCATGGCATGGAAACAAAGATACTGCCTGGAAGGCTCCAGGATTGTTGGGGGGAATAAATACCTCGTGAGCTATTTGTCCCCTTTGATTTAATTTTAGTGATGCTGGGTATTGAACCCAAGATATTGGGCATGCTAAGTAAGTGCTCTACCACTGAGCGACCTCCATGGCCCATTTAAATTCCCTGCTCAATTCTTTTTATTTTATGGTCATTATTATTATTTTTCTTTTTGATTTTCCAAGACAAGGTTTCTCTATTTAACAGCCCTGGCTGTCCTGGAACTCTCTCTGTAGACGAGGCTGGCCTCAAACTCATAGAGATCCCCCTGCCTCTGCCTCCCGAGTCTGGAATTAAAAGCATGTGCCACTACCTGGCTAATATTATTTGTTTTGAAACAAGGTTTCTTTTTATAGCCCTGGCTGTCCTGAAACTTGCTTTGTAGACCAGGCTGACCTCAACTTCCAGAGATCGAACAGCCTCTGCCTCCCAAATGCTGGAATTAAATGCCTGTGCTACCATACCCATCAAGGTGGCACATACCTTTAATCCTAGCATTGGGTGGCAGAGGCCAGTAGATCTCTATGAGGCCAGCCTGGTCTACATAGTGAGTTCCAGGACAGCCAAGGCTGTGTAGTGAGACCCTGTCTGAAAATGACAGAACAAAAAAGAATTTGTTTGGATTACAATTTGTGCAATTGTCCACATTTGTTCCCATAAATACAATGTGTTCTTTTCCCTAGCATTCTAAATATAAGTATAGAAGCGGTGCCTTTGTGAATCTCCATATCACCTGCTGACAAGCATGTACCAGCATGGATGTAGTAGGTTGTGTCTGACGCTCAAGGCTACTTGAGAATAGTAGGAAGAGCAGCTGGAGAGGAAGGAAGGCCTGGCTGACTGGAGGGTTCTGTTCGGTGTTACTCTGGGGAGACAGAATGTGTTACTGTCCGGCAGCCAGAGCCACACCTGCAAGGACAGGGAACATTCATCGCGGTTTCGGAACTAGAGCAGGAAGGGTTTTAGATGGGAGGTGCTTTGTTGGCAGTAAAGAAGGAAACTTGCTAAAGGCCAAGGCCAAGTGACCCATCCAGAATCACAGGAGCTACATGGGCTCTCAGACAGGAGTCTAGTCAATCTCCTTGCAGGCCCAACTCTGGCTGCAGCGTTCATGGATAGAGTTCATTATGCCCTGTTCATTTCTCCCCTTCATTAGCTCCTTTCCCTCTGCCCATCCACTGCTCAGGGCAGGACCTGAGAACAAATATCCATTTGTGTTGGTGAGTGGGTAGGTCAGATGAAGGAGTGCAGAGAGAGACGGGTGCGCTTGGCTGTTCCCAACACCCATGACTATGGTCATGTCCACTTCACCCAGAATAGGCAAGGAGAAATGCCGACCGGTGCTGGCTGGAGGTGGAGGCGGCTCTGCAGGCACACCCCTGCAACACTCCTTCCTGACCGAGGTGACAGATGTCTATGAGATGGAGGGGGGACTGTTGAACCTGCTCAATGACTTTCATTCAGGCCGCCTGCAGGCCTTTGGTAAGTCCAGGGGCAGGGTAGTTCTGTGGGCGGGGCTTGGAAGTTCCCATCTGGGAGCATGCTGGGGCTAGGGTCCCAGACTGGCTCCTAAACTCAGGAGTTGCCCAGGGAAGGAATGCTCCTTCGAGCAGTTGGAGCATGTGCGGGAGATGCAGGAGAAGCTGGCCAGACTGCACTTCAGCCTGGATGTGTGTGGGGAGGAGGAGGACGAGGACGAGGAAGACGATGGCGTCACAGAGGGCTTGCCTGAGGAGCAGAAGAAGACAATGGCTGACCGCAACCTGGACCAGCTGCTTAGCAATGTGGGTCATCAAACTGTCTTGTCTTGGATCCTGGGAATACCAAGGGCGGAGAGGGCACAGGCTCCTAAGTTTCCCACTGAAAAGGTGGGGGTACATGAACCCAAGTGCTGTGAGCTCCTCAGGCTTCATTAGTGGGGCTCCCTCTGAGTATCCATATTTGTTCTGGGTTCCCCTCCTGACATAAACCTCCTTTTCTCTCTATTGACAGCTAGAAGATCTTAGCAATTCCATGTATCCTTTCCAAGGGCCTCATATGGTTCAGGTGTCTCTCAGGAGAAGGAGAAATGAGGGATGGGGTATCAGTTTCGCTCTTCCCATCTCCCTCTCTCGGCATAGTCACCGGTAACAAACATTCCCATCTCCTGCAGTCCTGACTCAGTTGGCCACAAACCGTCCCCACTTGAGAAGAGGAAAAGTAGGATTTCCTGACTGCTAAGAGAAAAATGCATCATGTGTGCTGCCACACACCTTAATGCCAGCGTTCAGAGAGCAGAGACAGCCCTGGCATGACTGAAATATTTGAAGCTGACACAACGCTCATGTGTTGTTCTCCCACCCTTCCAGCTTTTCATAATGATTCTTACTTAGACTGTGGCCTGGTGTGATTGCATTGGGGACACACACACCCTCATACCCTGTGCATTGGACAGACAGACAGACACACACACATGACTGCTAAGAGAAAAATGCATCATGTGTGCTGCCACACACCTTAATGCCAGCGTTCAGAGAGCAGAGACAGCCCTGGCATGACTGAAATATTTGAAGCTGACACAACGCTCATGTGTTGTTCTCCCACCCTTCCAGCTTTTCATAATGATTCTTACTTAGACTGTGGCCTGGTGTGATTGCATTGGGGACACACACACCCTCATACCCTGTGCATTGGACAGACAGATAGACAGATAGACACACACACACACACACACTGGACAGACACACACACACACACACACACACACACACACACACACACACACCCGTGCATTGGATGGGAAGGAAGGCAGGCAGGTGGAAACACTGGGGGTCCAAAGCGTCACAGTCCTTGACTGGCACAGACAGAAGTTGCACCTGGCAGAGAATGCTGAGCCCGAGGAACAGCCAGCGTCATAGGTGTCGGACCCAGGCCTAGACCGCGTCTCTCCTTCCCTTCAAACTGTGACTTTTTACGGACTCGGGAGGGCATTGCACAGCCCCCCAGGTGCTACGAGGTGGGGGGCACTGGATGGAATTAAACGGAAAAGCAACTCCTTTTCGGTGTCCTTGCTCGCTCTCACTGCGCCGCACACCGGGCTGGGAGAAAAGGCCCGGGCTGGGCCCAGGTGCGTAGGCGGGTCGGAAGGAGAAGCCGGGCACGTGACCCTGGAAACGGGGGGGGGGGGCGCACTGTGTTTGCGCATGCTCAAGAGCGGAGCAGCCTAAAGACGCACCGCGCAAGCGCACGCACGTTTGCGGACGTCGCACGCACGGCACGGGACGGTTGCTGATATGAAGGATCCTGACCTAGTTCTTCGCAAGGTGTCAGCGTTGCAGGTCGTGTTGGAGCTGCGAATGCACCTGGGGTCAGGGACGGGGACTGGGACCTTCGGCGAGATGCAGCTGTCACATAACGTCCCTTTACCTGCATAATGCCCCGCTGGGGCGGGGTTGGGGAAGAGCTAAGAGAACCTTCAAGCAAGGGGAAGGGTCCAGCCCAGAGCATCAAAACACGGTTGCCCATCCCTGGCCCATGACGGTGTTCTCTCTGGCAGACCCCGTGGCCTCCCCAGAAACATCCAAGATATCTCTTTTAGGCTAGGGATGTAACCCGTGTGTGTGTGTGTGTGTGTGTGGTGTGTGTGTGTGTGTGTGTGTGTGTGTGTGTGT